GCCCATCTCGACTAGGACCAGCCTGCAGCCAGCAGGCGAAAAGGAAAAGCAACGAGGAGAGAAAAAATAAAAGGGATACGGAAAACAACCTGCCTCTATACCGAGGTCTTGTGAAATCCTGCCTCTATACCGAGGTCTTGTGAATAACCCTGCCCCTATACCGAGGTCTTTAATAATAAACGGTGTCTCTTACCTTCTGAGACTTCACCAGCCAGCTGCCCTGGAGTGCCAGAGTTCTGGCCGCTCTTGACGCAGAAGAAGGATCCCCCTGCGGTCCACCACTTGCCGCGCAACAGACGACTCCGAGATGGTCTTCTCTTCAGCACTTTATTTCCCCAGGCTCTGTACAGTCTTCTCCCTCCTCCTCCCCAACCCTAGGACCTTATAAAGGGCCCCTAGCCAATCAGATCATTGTCCACGTGCACAGAAGCCAGTCCTCGAAAGAGGATTGGTTGCATGCAGTGTTCCCATGCTCCCCACTGCCCTACTTCCTTAAAGTTGTTTACTACTTTGAGCGCTCAGCGGGCTTCCATTGAGCGCCATTTTGAAATAGGCGCTGAAGGCGATGGGCGGGGGCGCTCCACAGCAAGGGAGCGGGGTAAGCTGCTTGAGTTCCCTGCGTATTCCAGTTACCAGTCCCTTATCTGACACATAGTTTACAAAAATATTCTCCCATTCTGAGGGTTGTTGATTCACAATAATTACTGTGTCTTTTGCTGTGCTAAAATTTCTTAATCTGATGTAATCCCACTTGTCTATTTTTGGGATTGTTGCCTATGTTTTGGGGTCTTACTTAGGAAGTCTTTGCTTACTCCAGTGTCTCCTAGAGTTTCTCCAGTGTTTTCCACCAATAGCTTTATAGTTTGAAGTCTTAGGTTTAGGTCCTTGATCCACTTTGAGTTGATTTCTTTTCATTTTGAGAGGTAGGGGTCCAGATTCGTATTTCTACAAGTGAATACCCAGTTTTCCCAACACCCTTTGCTAGAGAGGCTGTCTTTTTCCTGATGGATTCTATTTCTAAGTAAGGTCACATTCTGAGGTACTGAAGGTTAGGGCCCCAACATATCATTTTTGTGGAGACACAATTCAATCAGTAGTAAACAATAGGCAAGCAGGTATCTGGCCCAAAATTCAATGTAGTGTAGAAAGGAAGTCTCCCTGAACAAGAGGAGCTATGGAAACTGCTGCTGCCTTGTGCTAACAGGGCGACCAGCAAATAAGGGACAATGTGCTTCACTGGTGACATCTACTTTCCTTGCTCCAACTGCTATGAATTTAAAAATAATAATAAAATAAAATAAAATAATAGCTGCTACTCTATGTGTGCATTCCAGATTCCACACAAATTTCTCTTGCAGCCCATACAAACCAGAACCAGGGAGGAAAGGGAATCCTTGGAAAAGTAGTTCCAAATTATCTAAACTGACACAATACAAATCCACCACAAACTTATATAGCTCAATACAGAGAAAGTATAATTTTTAAAAATTGATAGGATAGGCTGGACAGTGGTACAGCAATAAAACAATAAAACACAATGTTCTGTGAGGCTGACCCACACAGGGAGGTTCCAAATTCACAAGTGAAGTCCTCCCTGAATACACTGGGTACATGTGTACCCATAATCTAGGACTGGCTAATACTATGGATGGATCACAGCATCAAGACCCTATTGAGGTCTCTCTCTCTTTCTCTCTCTCTCTCCCTCCTCCCTTCATAGGAGAAATGAAAAAATAAACTTTAATAATGAATAAAATATCCAAAGAGAACTTTCTCAACATAAGATGTATTAGTGGTCAGCAAAACATCAGAAATGTTCACTCTCTACTGTAGTCTTCAAAAAAGTGCAAATACATGAAAATATCTTGTCCATTTTAAATGGATTGTTCTATAATTATAGTATTCATAATGTTGATGTGTTTTTATATTTGAGTCTTTTAAAGTGCAAACTAAAGTAGGTATAGCTATGTGTACATTTTTGGGTGGAGGGTTGGAAGATAATGCTCCCCACCAAAAAACATCCACATCCTAATAACCAGAACCTATTAATACATTAGATTGAATGGCAAAGGAATATTAAGACTGCAGAGGGAATTAAAGTTGCTAATTAACTGATGTCAAAATAGAAAGGTTATCTTAGATTATCTCAGTGAGACCAGTGTAATCACTAAAGTTCTTAAAAGGAGAAGAGGGGTCCAGCCTAAGTAGAACATACTTGATTGCAGTACTGGAACCACATGGCCGAAAGCAACTCATTTCCTGTGGATTTTTGGGATGGCCTAAAAAGACACCAGGAGTACCCAAGATCCTCAGGAGTTGGAGGCTAAGGAAAGGTGATCGTGAGGTGATAAGATCCTGTCTAGGGTGCTTTCTCTCTTTCTCACACAGTCTAACATCAAAAAGGAAAAAAAAAAAAAAAAAGAAAGAAAGAAAGAAAGGAAGGAAGGAAGGAAGGAAGGAAGGAAGGAAGGGAGAAAGAAAGTTAAATAAGAGGGAGGCCAAAGAGTGAGAGTCAGAAAAGGAGACGTAACAGTAAAAGCAATTCATAAAATGCTACATTGGTAGCTTCAAAGCTGGAGAACTAAGACCTCAAAGTTAATGAATGTGTGCAGGCTCTAGAATCTGGAAAAGACAAGGAATGTATTCTCTCCTAGAGTTACCAGAAAGGAACACAGCTCTATTAGTATCTTGGTTTTAGTTCTATTCAACCCATGTCAGATTTCTGACCTACAAAACTGTAAGATAATAAATTCGTGTTTTTAAACCATTAGCTTTGGAGTAATTTGTTACAATTGTCATAATAATCTCATACAAGAAGATATTATCTTTCTCACTTTATAGATCATTAAATAAAGTGGAGAAGTCAAGTGCTTCGGTTACCACTAACTTGTGATAGAACTCAGGCTATACTCCATGGTTTCTTTCACTCCAAGGCTCCTTCCACAGTGTGTGTTAGCTTTCTTTGTGTGTTAGCAGGTTCATACCAGCAAGGGACCCAAGAAATTACAAGCAGTGAGTCTCAACTTGGAATAGGCCTTAGGGATTTTGTTTTGTTTTGTTTTGTTTAATTTTCAAGGAAGTCATACACATTTTTACTCTCAAAACTTTGTAGGTACAAGAGTACTTTAATTTTGCTATGCTCAAAGTTATGTCAGTTACATAATCTACAGACTAAAATTACAATTTAAAGCATTTAACCTAGGATCTGCAAGACACTAGAGCCAACCACACGTATCATTCACTTTGATTTTAAATCAATTCATGTTAATGAACCTTTTCTAGTTTAGTACTAGCAGTCTTGGTTCATACAAAAATCAAATAAATGTCCCTGACCTTTTTCAAGAATTTAAAAGTGTTTTATATAAATAAATTGTTTTATTTGGACAGTAGGTAAAATATCAAAGGACATCCCTTGGAAAACTGGACTTAATTTATTAAATTATGAAGCAATCTCCAAGCTGATTCTTATTCTCAAGAACATAAATAAATAGATTAAAGTAAATAAATATAGAAAGGATGCACAACCACTACACCTTTCCCAACTTCAACGGGAGTATCATTCACAGAAGACATACAAGTAGTGATTCCTATAATTGTGCACTGTCGTTCCTGAAGATTCAAGATTTTTTTAGGACTATAGACAGTTCTGCCTTTCACATTCAAAAACTGTCTATCCATAGATGTAAAAGATAATTGCTTAAACACTAATTTGTAGGTGGAAGAAGGGTCTTGATTATCTCCCTCCCCACAAATCAAAAGGTATTAAATTTGATATCAAGTTTGTTCCTTTGGACTGAATTTTTTTTAATTCCAAATATCTTTTTATTACTTTTATTATTATGTCCATTTACACAAATACTACCTATTATAGGAAAATTTTTAAATGCACAGGAAAATATTCAAAACTCTGTCACTTAAAGAGGACTCTTCCAGCCTTCTTTAGATAGTATATACCACCACCCACACTAGGTCTCCCACTTAATAGGTGTTGACTGTGGTTGCCAAGGTAATGAAGGCTAGAAGAAGTTAGTCTACACTTGTTGCTAAGGAGGCCCTAAATGGCGGACAAAGATACCACAAGCCAATCTCAAATGTATGTATTTTTTGAACATAACATATATACATCTCAAAAAATTACTTCCCAGGGCCAGCAGGTGGTGTGATGGTTAAGGGCACTGGACTCCCACATGGCTGACTGCGGTTCAAGTCCTGGACCTATTGGTTTGCTTTCTCACTTTCTCTCTATATATATCCCTCTTGGGTCAAACTAAAAGTAAACAAATTAATTAATTAATTAATTAATTAAGCTAAATAAAATAATTATTTTAAAAATTACTTCCCACAAGATAATATTTCCTAGTCTTCCCAAGTTCTCTTCCTATCCCTCTGCCCAACTCATAGCAACTTTGTATTCAAAGGGTAGGATCTTTATCAAAAGAAATGAAAGGAGTCAGGAAACTTCACCAATTTAGAGATGTTTGTGTTTAAACATAGGCTTTCATCTTTTTGTGAGTTCTTGGCATCCACTGATATTTGACATCTTCTCCCAAACACCAAAGCCAGGCTTTGATGGTAACTTCATCTAAGGAGTAGCTTGAGTTCTTCTCCATAGGCAGGATGAGTACAGTGGATATTGACATATTCAGACAGTAAAAAAGACCTCGTATTGAATTAAAGACGATGAAAAGCCTCTTAAACTAAGAAAATGTAAGTTTTCACTGGGTGGTATAGTGATAGATGTCTTAACGTTGCTTAATGCTGGGTTTAGAAAAATGTGTAGATCTCAAAAATAACTAATGTGTAATCTCAAAAAAGGAAGACAGCAAAATCTCCCAAATGCCAAGTAATTATCCTTTTTGAAACTTCCTAAAACATAATCTGTTATAAGAGTTAGAGTACATGATTATTTTTCCATTTAATAAGTATAATTGTCCAATTATACTACTAAATATAATCTAATTCAAGGATGTGCTATAGTTTATTCAGACAGTCCCAACTGCTGAACAGTTAAAGCTTTCTTATTTTTGATGCTATAAACATAACTATATGTCAACATTTATAGATTCTTTCTTATTTTATGAATTGCTGAGCTAAGGAGCATGTGCACAGTCCAAGGGTTTCATTACATATCATATATATGATTACATATTAAAAACTTCACATTGACCTCCTAAAAGTTAGTACAC